CCTGAGTTCAATCCCTGGATCTAAAAAAAAAAAAAAAAAAAGACTTCTAAAATAAGATAAAATACTTATTGTGGGACCTTGTTTTAATCAGTCATGAGACCTGTCTTTAGTTAATCTAATTTTGCAAGAACGTGTGCTTTGAAGATCTTTCTCCCTTGGCATGAATTTTTGAAGAAGGGACTGTCAAAAATAGAAAACTGGGGGCTGGGGAGATGGCTCAGTGGAATAAGTGCTTCCCTGGCAAGCGCAAGGGCCTAAGTTCAATCCCCAGTTCTGAAAAAAACAAACAAAAAAAACCTTACAATATATACAGTGTGGCTTTTTCTTTAGGACTCCCCCCCCCAATTTATTTATTTATTTATTTTTTGCTCCTCGAATGCCTTCAGGGCACTTTTGGCGGGCTGGAGTGTTGTGGGGATTGAACTACAGCAACCTGAGGCTGACAGCTTTGTGGAAGCAGCCACTTAAATAACTGAGCTAGGGCCAGCACCCCCCCCCCCGAATTTAAATTGAAATTAAAATTGGTAGGAGATAGCTGGGAGATAACTCAGTGGCATAAGTGCCTGCCTGGCAAGTGCAAGGTCCTGAGTTGGATCCCAGGTACCAAAAAAAAAAAAAAAAAGAAAAAGGTACTGACTAAATTTCACATATGGGATAGGTGTAAAAATGAATGGGCTTGAGTTTGGGTTTTGGCTGCCAGAGGTGACCTCTCTTGGTTGTCAGACACTCGTCCACTGTGGCCAGGACCACTGGGTAAGCTTCATCATGGTGGCTTGGGAAGTTGCAGTGAGGTGGCCAGTCCAAGAACCAGCACAAGGAGCCATAGTCTCCAGCTGGGTCAGATGATACCCCCTCTACCGAAAGGCTTACCACACAGCAGCTGGTGTGCACACGCTGCTCACAGCCAGGGATCAAAGGGAGCCGGAGAGCCACCCCAGAGCTGCGAGCGTGCGCTCACCTGCCAGTGTGGTGCGGCAAGAAGCAGAGGAGTCTGAAGCCTCCAGACCTTCTCAGCCTTTACTTTTTCTTTCTTGTCCTTGGCCCTCTACTGTGTAAATTATGGTCATTACTGAGTGTGTGGCTGTGACCTGATGGGCAGTCCATTGTCAGACACACTACAGGGAGAGTTCTGGTGGGGATAGTTAGCATAAATGGAGATTTTTTAAAAACAGCTTTGATTAAGAGCATGAAGGTTCAATGTGCTCTGCTTTATTTTGGGTTCATATGTAAGTTTTTCTTTCTCTTGAGACACAATCTCACTGTGTAGTTCAGGATGGACATTAAGTCACTATGTAGCCCAGGCTGGCCTTGAACTCCTGGTGATCCTCCTGCCTCAGCCTCCTAAGTACTGGGGCCTTATGCTTGCCAGGCAGGTACTTATACTGCCCAGCCCTTTGACTGCTTCTTGAAGTTTCCACTTGGCTAAAGAAATGTAGCATGCCTTGATAAACAGGGGTTCCTATGGTTCCTGAAATTTTGTTTAGGATTTTGGCATCTGTGTAGTATCTTTGCCTGGTTTGGGTGCTAGTATAATGCTGGCATTGAGAAGTGTTTTCTCAGATTGTTGAATGAGTCTGTGTAGAACTGACAAAATGTTTTCCTTAATTGTTTGCTTGAATTCAGCTTTGAATTGTGCTACTAGGTATGTAATTTATAGGTCTACTTTGTTGTGTTGATGTATCAACCCTTTTAACAAATGATCTCTGAATATTTTTGTGCTGAAATGTTACCTACTTTTTAAAATAATATGATGTAGGCATTTCAGGGTTTTGTGTTAGCTTGGTATATATTTTTCTCATCTTTTTACCTTTATTTTATGTTTATATTTAACATGGCAGCATATAATTAAGACTTGCTATTTTGAAACTCGGCCTGGCCATCTCCTTTATTGGACGTGTTTAGGTCCCTTATAGGCTGATTTATGATTGATAATAGCTATTTTATCAGACTCTGTTCTGAAGTGAGTCGTCACCATTTCCTGTATGTAAAGACCTTATAACAGTATCATTGTGTTTTTCTACTCCTGTCCTTTATGTGACTATTGTCATATATTTTGCTTTAACATATATTATAAACCACACATTCTGCTATTTTTTTTTTTAATTTTTTTTAACATTTATTTATTGTGTGTGTGTGTGTGTGTGTGTGGCCAGCTCAGCCCACCAGGGGGCGGGGCTGGCTGGCATGTGGTGCTGGGGGACTGAACCGCGGTCCCTGTGCGTTGCTAAGCTTGTTCTAAGTAGGTGCTTTAGACCACTGAGCCATCTCACCAGCCCCCCCACTTGTACGTCTTTACGGGGAGAGTTTATATTTCTGACTCAGTGCTTTTGCTCTAGGCTGTAGACCAATTCTCAAGTCCTTTTTGGGTGGCCTTATTTGCTAAAACTCATGCAAGAACTGATGAGGCTCACTTTCTGCTGTTGTGGTTTTCAATTTCTAGTGGTATGTTAGTCAAAATTCTGACAAAAAATAATATTATGATTGAATAAGCCCATTGTTGAGTTAGTTTGACCTCCCCCTCAGTACTGGGGATTGAATTCAGGTCTTTAATTTTTTGTTTTTATTTTGAAACAAGTTCTTGCAAAGTCACAAGTTCCAGCACTGGGCTCAAACTGGTAAAGCTTCTTCTTCAACCTCCCAGAGAGAAGAATTACAGGCTTAGTTTGATATATTGAAATTACATTAATTTAAAGAAAAACACCATGTAACAGTCACGTATCACTAGTAATCAGAAATTCAACGTAGGTAATATGGTAGATAAGAAGAAAAGCTACAGTAGGTGTTAATGAACTAGGCAGGCATGGCTGTAAACCAGATTTGTGCCGTGTCCTAATTTTTGTGAAGTGATGACAAATCATAAATCTTTTAGCTGTATGATAATTACTTGGGTAAAAAATTTAAAGGAGCAATTTTTTAAAACTACTGCTTCCGTAAAATTGTTTCTGACTTGCTTATTTTTGTTATATATATATTTTTTTTTTGTTGTTGGTGTTGTTTTGCAGAACCGGTGATTGAACTCAGGCCCTTGTGCTTGCCAGGCAAGCACTTACTCTACTGAACTAACTCCCCGGCCCCAAGGCTGTTCTTGAACTCACTTCGTAGACCAGGCAGTAATCCTGTCACAGCCTCCCACATACTAGGATTGTGCCACCATGCCTGGCTCTTTTGAAAAAATTTTTTTTTGTTTGTTTGTTTATTTATTTATTTAGTGTGTGTGTGTGTGTGTGTGTGTGGCCAGCTCAGCCCACCAAGGGGCGGGACTGGCTGGCATGTGGTGCTGGGGGATTGAACTGCGGTCCCTATGCTTTGCTTAGCTTAGCTTGTTCTAAGTAGGTGCTTTAGACCACTGAGCCATCTCACCAGCCCCAGCCTGGCTCTTTTGTAAACTTTCCTTTCCCATTCTTTTTGTTGGCGGAACTGGGGACTGAACTCAGGCCCTTGTGCTTGCCGGGGAAACACTTATTCCACTGAGCCACCTCCCTGGCCCCTCATTTTTTTTTTAATGTATTTGGTATAGGGTCTCACAATGCAACTCAGACTTGTAGCAGTCCTCTTGTTTATAGGCGCCCCAGCTCTGTGGCTCTCTCAGCACACCCAGGGGTGTGGCCAATGTGGCCTGTGGTACCAGCAACTGAACCCTAGTCCCTGTGCTTGCCTAAGTAGGCGCTTAGTTCATTGAGCTATCTTGCTGGCTGGCCGATTCTTTCTTTCTTTCTTTTTTTTTTTATTAAATTCTTTCCCACCCTTTAGAGCCCAGGTTGCTCGTCTCTGTGGAGCTCTTTCCATCAGCGTCATGCTGCCTGATGGAAGCAGTGTCTTCTAGCCATGATGCTCTTTCTTATATGGAGCTTTTCTCTCCCTTAGGTGGCTGAGATGCGTTCTCTTTCTCAGTGGTAGAGACCATTCTTAATGGTGGAAGTCATATGTATCTTAAAAGAAAATCTTGTTGAATTGTGGAGCTGTGTCTTCTTGTTTGAGTGCATCATTCTAGAAATGTAGCTGAATTAATGTGTATTTGTCCACAGGTCCTTTTTGGGGAGGAAGGAGGTCTGTTTGAGTCAGGGTCTTGCTGTGCAGTTCAGGTTGGCCTTGAGCTTACTTTTTAGCTCAGGCTATTCTTGAACTCACAGTGATCTCCTGCCTCAGCCTCCCAAGTCTGGGATTACATGCATGTTCCCTCATGCCCAGTTTAGCAATTCTCTTTTTAAACATTATTAAGCTTTTTAGAGTTCACAGCATCGCTTAATTTATTTTTATGGTCCTGGAAATTGAACCCACGGACTTACACAAGTGCCCAGTCACTTTGCTACATTCCCAACCCCCACTTTGATTTCATGGGGAAGAAAAGACCAATGTTCTAAAACACAAAAGACTTCTTTTGTCTTTTTGAGACAGGGTCTTGCCATGCAGTTCAAGCTAGCCTTGAACTCTGTGTAACGCAGGCTGCTCTTGAGCCCCCTGTCAGTCTTTTTGCCTCAGCCTCCCAGGTGCTGGGATACAAACATGTACCAACATGCGTGGCTGACATCAAATATTTTTTGGGGGGTGGGGCTGGCTCAGCCTGCTCTGAGGGCAAGGCTGGCATGGCATGTGGTGCCGGAGACTGAACCACTGTCCCCTGCTCCTGCTTAAGCTTGCCTGAGCAGGTGCTTTAGAGCACTGAGCTATCTCGCTGGCCCAAAGATATTTTAATAAAGAGCAACTGTGTAATTTTTTTCAAAAGATCAACAATTTAATTTATATGAAACACATGCCTTTTCCTCACTTACTTTTGTAGGTTCTACCTGAACCTTGCATTTGGCCTCCATGTGAAATGAAAGTAGAAGACTCTATCTACATGTACGTTGCTGTTGGGTTGGGATGCTGATGCACTGGGCGTGCCTGGAGGGGCAAGCTCTGTCCTAGACAGCTGACTGTGGCACAGTCAGTGCTCTTCCTCCATGTCCAGCGCCTCCCCCTGCTGCTGGAGTGAAGACCCCCTCCGGAACCCACCAGTACCCCCGCCGTGGGACACACTCTGCCTGCCGAGGATGCCAGCCACCTAACTTCATGCACCTGTCTGTGCCCTCGCCGTGGATGCTTTGCCACCTGACAGCTCCTCACATTCTTGTCCAGGCCCTGCGTCTGCTTCTGACATGTCTCTGCTTCATGCTTTGGGCCCAGTGCAGACCTGGCTGGGACAAGAGCTGGAGAAATGTGGCATCGATGCCATGATCTATACGCGCTATGTCCTCAGTCTTCTGCTACACGACAGCTATGACTATGACCTGCAGGAACAGGTATGTTACGTGTTTTGTGAAAATGGATGATTTTGTCAGTCTTTTTTTTTTTGTAGTCTAGGCTGGCCTCAAACTGCAGCAGTCCTACCTCAGCCTCCTGAGTGCTGGGATTTCAGGTGTGTTCCACGCCACCTAGCTCTGGGTGAATTCTTTTTTTTTCTTGTGTACATCTGTAAGACTCTGATTTCATACTCTTGAAGAGGGCTGGTGTGCAAATGTCAGTGACAAGACAGTAAGATTGTATTAAAATGTAAACTGGCTGAGTCACTAAGTAGCTGCGTGGTTCAGCTGTTTGACCTTGGGCTCTCCATGTTGCTGAAACCCTGCCTTGATTCTGAATCTTGTTGGGGTGGTAACAGGTGCGTGGCTTGCTGCCCTCGATCGGCGCCATACTGATGCTGGTTTCTGTTCTTTGGGGAAATTGTATGTTATACCATATATTTAATCATCCCATCTCTTGCTTTTGACTCTTCCAAATTTTCTCCTTCAAGAGTGATGTTAGGCTGCTTTGTTTTGCAGTGTGTATGATAGATGCTCAGGCCTAACCACCAGTAAGGCACTTGACTTTGGTACAAATCGCTGTGCATTACCATCTAAGTCAGACATGGAACTTTATTTTTTTAACACAAGGAATGGAACATCTAGGTTCTTGAAAGAACTCAAACTGCCTCATTTTCTAAGAAGAACTACTTGCCCTGCGTCCTGCTGTGGGGAGCAGAGTTATCCACAGCACACAGATGGGCACCAGGGGACCCTTCATATGAATCTCATGTAAAATTTTCTGGTTTTCCAGAGCTCTTGATGGAAAGAAGGCGGAGTTTTGTGGGTAGTCTGTTGTTTTAAGTCCTTGCTACTATCATGAGAGTAGGAACAAAGTTTCATTGACAGAAAAAAAAAAAGGAGAGAGAAAGGGCCTGGGGAGATATAGCTCAGTAGAATAAGCTCTTGCCTGGCAAGCGCAGGGTCCTGAGT